CTTGAGCCGTCCGACAGTGGTACAAACTTCATGGCGCCTTCACCCTCTCCCTTACCCGCCTCCCCCTTAACGCTTTAATGGAAACTGCGACCTCTGCTTACCCTAACCCCCTGCCCTTCCCTAGCTCACACATTTAGTCCTCATGTCCCAACCCAGCCCCCTTTCCCCTCTCTGGCCCCAACCCAGCCCCGTCCCCCTGGCCCTTCCTCTTCCCCTGTTGCACCGGTGCCCAAGGAAAACCCACCCTTTTCCATCACCACAAGGGCCCTCCTGCACTCCACCCCCTACCTGAGCAGGAGGTTCTCATGCTTTGAGCTCCTCACGATCCAGCTTCTTCACTGACCTAGACTCCCTTTCGTACCCCTCCCTCACGAGAGTCAAGGAAACGAGCACGTACCAGCTTGTTGTCCGAATGTGCATACTAGAAGGAAAAATAGTTTGGTCTGTCAGGGGTTTTCTGTCTTTCTTCGGGATGCCGGACCTACTCTCCAGCATGGTACCTTCTCTTTTGTTTACATAACACATGATAAGAGCCCCTGCTTACCAGGATCCTGTAATCACCCCCAAAAGTACGCCCCTGATGGGCCTGGCGACTCCAACTCAAATCTACAAGCCAAGCGGGACAGACAAGCAACAACAGCACTGCAAAAGATGTGACCAAGGAACATGAGGTTCTGTGAGTGCATACAGGGAGGACAACTTATATAATTGCGAAGTCCTTGCTTCAGTGACAAATTTCAGAAAAGCGTCACGGGCGCATCAATTTTTAAGTGCAGCCTGTAAGGTGGAAGGCCAGATTCATTGAGAGAGTTTAAGAACCCTTGTTCAATACCAAGTCCGTTATCGTCCGGAAGGTTGAAAACCGCCTAAGATGAAAACGGAAGACTACAACTACAAGATAGCAGATGAGAATGTTGGCCACACTCCCCTTGGTATAGGGACCTCTCGCGAGCCCCTACAACAGGATAGGGCGTACGCGAGGCACAACTTACCTCACCTTACGGGAGTTGTCACCTCCCTTCGGTGGGCATATCCCCGCCGAGCTACCACTCCACAGTACGAAAGCTGATCAGTTGCAATCGCAGAGGTGGACCAGCCGAGGGCGTTTCTCGTTCGCTGTAGCATAGAGGGTACGTGCGGTATTACGCGTCTATCGGACCCGTACGCGAACCGACATCTTAGGGGGTTGAGGTCCCAAGCGTCGGTCGACTAGGACGCATCCCACACTCCACGCGCACACCACTATAAAGAACATAAAAATAAAAGCACACACACACACGCGCGTATATTTACATACGCAGATGACATTGAGCGGACAACTCGACAACACTCCTAGTTCCTTAGTAGTCATCTTATAACTTTCCGGTGCGGAAATCGAATAGGCGTTCGACACGAGACTTAGTATAAAATCGCGCGGACGCGGGGCTTACTCATATCGACTAGCAATGCAATCATTCGCAAACAGTTGCAATGATGGCGTACTATGTAGTGCTCATAATCAAGCGGTCCTTCGTGGATCCGAGTACCGCTTATGACACTCAAGTGTCAGACTCGAGTTATCGTGGAGGCATGCCCCCTTCACGATATTGCACGACTGAAGGAATAGCCATGCGGTCGCCGCTAGACCTCTGACTTTTACGCTGAGTGTCTCGGCAGGCAGCACAGATAGGCTCTGCACGGGGGGAGATTCCTTCTATGCAGAGTCTAGGACTTGGGATGTCCTGGACAAGGACCTTGAACCCGAGCCCAGGACCAACGTCCGATTAAGAAATCCTTAAGAAGCATTCAACAATAAAGCGGTTTTTGTTTTTTTCTTCTTAATCTCAACCCCATATTTAACCTTTAAGCGTAGGTTCATCAGGCCACACGAACACCCAACATAGGTACACGTATCTATCTATCTATCTATATCTATATATATATATAAAGGGGAATAAGTATTTGACGATCACTTCTAACAATCACAGTCGAACTCCTCACAACCATATATATATTTGTGATCGCAGACAGTCAAATCCAAATCTGAACCACAGTACATATCTGCAATCACATCAAAAAGTCAAACAAAAGTCCACGCACTACACGGAGTCAACTCCAACCAATCTCTATACTCATACCCATCGCTTTAGCTATGCAAGCCCCAACCTCTGTCCAACCAAACATAATTAAATACTCAGTACCTTTGTTAAATGACCATTCAATAAAAGTCCGGGTGAAACCTTAATAATATAATAAAATCACCGGGGCTAAAGTCTTTTAGGTTGAGTATTGAGGATGAATGAGAGTTGAGTCATAGACGGACGAATCGGCAACCGACCTGTTATCAGTGATTACAAAAGGTGATCCTTGTACGATCAAGCTGAATCTATTCCAGATCCTGAATTAAACGATCAAGAAGACATGTCAATCCCCAAGCTAAATCTATGAGTCATAATCGAGAGTAACCTCCATATCACACTTTCACAAAGAATCATTCTTCTTGGCTAATTCTGAGTCTACCCCTAAGCCAGTACGTAAAGAAAAGGTGGATCTTTTGGCAAAATCTCCTCTAGGCAGGGTGGATTGCCAATATTGTTACCTGTCAAAATACAATCTAACTCCTCTAATCTAAGAAAATTTTGGCAACACTTCTGGTAGGAGAAGTGTCTTCTCATAATTTATAATAACTTAAATATGAAAACAAAAGACAATCTCTAATTCTGGAAAGTCAAATTTTGTGTAACTCCCCGGATGAGTAAAAATTTGGGCAACGTCTCCTTTAGAAGGGTAGACTTCCCAAATTTATACTAAGCCAGATAAGAACTCAAAAGTTAGACTTGAGTTCAATTTTAAGACAAAACTTAACTAACTTCTTAGCTTTGTAGAAATTTCGGCAGCGCTTCCCGTAAAGAAAGTGCTATGCCAAGATTTATACAAAGTTATCAACCGAGACTCCGTTAGTAGTGGCGAGCGAACGCGGATTAGACTCTAAATACCATCCAAGCAAATTAGAAAAGATTGGAATGGACACGACTTATTCAACGCCATTGAAGATACTCGTGGTGAAGAACTCGCTGCGAAGACTCAAGCTCGTCGTGAAAGGGGATCACTGGGAATAGCCAGCCCTTGGTTGAACCCCGACCGTGTCTCTAAGTCCATATTCTAAAATGACTTTGACTTTTCAAGGTCTAATTTTGTCGAACTCCCTAATTTAGTAAAAATTTGGGCAGCACTCCTTTTAGGAAAGAAGGTTTTTCAAATTTTTACTAAGCCAAAAAGTCAAAAAAGTTGGACCGTGAAAAAGAAAAAGTCTGACTAACTCCCTGGTTTTCTAGAAATCTCAGCAGCGCTTCCCGTAGAGACAGTGACTTACCAAGATTTATACAAAACCAAGTATAATAAATGATCCCTGAAAATGCAGAAATTGACCTAAGTAAAAATAAACTTAGCTAAAAAATTGTAGGAATTGAAGCTACCTCCTATGACTCTAGCACGTGGCGAGCAACTAAAGCAACTACCTATCAACGGAAACTCAGACTAAGTAGTAGTTGCACTCGGTCTCATGCAGACCAAACCACAAAGGTAAGTACTCTCACCATCCCAAAGTCAACCTTGTCAAACAATAGTTTGTAGTCTTTCAATGATTTATGCCCTTATACCTTAGTTTACATAAGGCATAAAGCTAGGTCACCCAAACTTATGAGAATCTGCCTAGCTCAGCCATGCCACAACAACTTTTCTCTTCTTTGGGCACATGACTAGACCGCCCTAGTCGTCCTAAACTGTTTAAGTATCCAAACTATACAAAATTGTTTGTCATTAGTCTTATAAGGTAGCATATGATTGAACCGATCAACTTAGTTCGAGGTCCAGCCTGCCCCTTCTTACCACAAGTTTATTCTTAATTAATACTCTCGTCACTTATGATAAGTTGTAGTCAGACCATGTAAACGTATGGAAAAATGCCCAACTAGCCTGTTCATAAGTGATATAATATAAAATATAAACAAGTTTTACCTTTTGATTCTAACATGTGCGTGGCTTCAGACCAGACCTCCCAAACTTATGGGAACCTGTCCGGTCTGTCGTCAAAATCCTCCCTCAGAATGAAACAAAGAGGGTCAGAGTCATCCAAACTTATAGAAAAATGCTCAACCTTCTTTCAGAAACCAAATAAACATATAGAAAACCCCAAAGAAAAAAGATCAAGCCATCCAAACTTATGGAAAAATGTTTGGTCCTTGAAAAGACAATCACACTCAACCCTCGCAAGTCAAAGCAACTAGACCACCCAAACTTGTGGGAACCTGTCTGGTCCTTCAGGCAATCCAAAATAAACATAGCACTGGACCCTCAAAACTTATGGAGACTCTCCCAGCCTCTGGTTGACCCAGTCAAACTCAAACAATATAACCTTCCTCCCATCCTTCCCCCCAGATGCAATCCCACAATGTGCTTTCAGTCAAACAATAAAACTGAAATCGACATTACACATACATTTCTTTACTTAGTCTGGTTTGTCCTGAAAGTCACACTAAAAGTCAAAGTAGGGATTCATACAATATACTCAGTCAACCGTAGCAAGGTGTGTAGTTAAGGGATATAACAGGGTTTATAGAAGGAGCTGAAATGTTACCTCTTTGTTCCCTGCCTCCAGAACTCCCCCTGAGTTCAGGCAGAGCTTCCGCAATCGGTGGGATGACTCCCCACAGAGTCTTGCTATGGTCCTACGGTTGCAATCCCGCTTGCTGCCTTCCTCTCAGAACAAGACTAGACTTAGACTTAGACGGGCATAATAAGGGGTCTGAGACTCTCGAGATACAAGAGGGGGATAACTCAACTCTCAAGAGAGGGCCTTATTGCCTTGATACTCCTGAGGGCCCCACAATGATGGCCAAGAGTAACAACTTGGTCAACTTCTGAAGTCAAATTGCCGGCATAGTCTCCCCTGAACAACCACCGAAACGCAGCAACAACGCACCTCATCATTGTCCCCCGGACGCGTAGTTCAATGGGTAGAGACAGTTTAGTTCAATTTACTAGAGGCACATCTTTAGTGCGGGATCACACTAGCCCTCTGCAATGATGTCCGACAGAGAAAAGTCGGCACGACGATATGCAGCCTCGTACCGTATCATATGCAATCAATAGGCTGCCCACAGTATTGGTATTACCTTCAGGTGAGGAAGAGCAGTGCAGCTGCTTGTTCAGGTCAACGTTGTAGCTGCTTGTTCTGGTCAACGTTGCACCTGCCTGTCTTCCAACCTCACTCCCTTCAAGTACGAACTGCAGCCCTCTGTGCTGCAGTAGATGTGCTCCTCGGCCAGGTATCTTATAGCAGAGCCCAGCGAATAAACTGTTCCCAGATACCCATGCCCTTTCCCTTCTTATCGGGCGAGTTACACAGGCCTGTCCCTCCAATTACAAACAACCACGGTCGTTGTCTTGGTCTGCCGCGGATAGTTCACCTGCTGGCTCGTTTGGGAACGGCCCGTCTGCTCGCTTGCCCACAAAACAACTTATTCGATAAACACATGCCCACATATTCTTTCTTTACACTCGTTGCAACCGCTGACTGCTTGTCATCCGCCGTCGTATCTTCACTCACGAGTTCGGGCGCATGCCCTGTTCCCTCCCCTTTTTCTGTGACGCAGGTGTTTCCGTCACCCCTAGCTAGCCGCCCCTCCAACGATGGTTTCCATGCCCATTACCGGGCGACTCCCAAAGTGAACTTCGACTAGTACACGGCCAGATGCGCCCTAGTCAGGCGGGTTTACTCACAGAGATCTGTCTCCGGCCCGCCACTCGTCGGCCCTGCGAAATATAGATGAACCTCCCGCTAAGGCCCGGGTAGGTTCAATCCCTTCCTTTTCTGGCTACCTGTGTCTTCCTTCGCCACCCTTCCGGTCAGTGAAGTGAGCGGAATCTGCCAGAATCTTCTGCTATAATTTGCGACGATATACTACGATGGACACATACAGAAGGATCCCGATATGAATACGAACGGAGGAGTTTGTCCAATGCACCACTCACCCCTGCGAGCACACAGTAAGAGATAGAGCGAGGCGGCCTCCGCTGATGGAGCAACAAAAATCGAAATGAACCTATCGCATAAAGCGGGGTAGATGCATGAGCATCTCCCCATCCCATTCCTGGGTGCAGCTCGAAATACCAACTTAGCTGAACTAACAACTCTGCGCAAAAACTAATGTCGCTATCGCGTTCCCAACGCCCCAAACCCCTGAGTTGGCACTCTACCTCGCACGACTCCTCGGAGGAATGAGGAAGATATGAATCCCACATTCCGATTCTCACTTCCCCTTGCTATCGCCATAATTTTGTGCATCCGTTCCTCTACTCCCCTTCGATCCTACCGACTCCCTCTTCTAAAACTGACTTCACGATTGGCTTCACTGTCCCTCAAAATTTTGGAATCGCCTTCTTCCCCGCCTGTATTCGTCTTGTAACGAGCGAGCTATCCAACTTCTTCTCTAGCCAATCCTATCCCTTTCGTCTTCCCCATCGCTGTTCTCCTTTTTGTTGTCAACGACAGTTCGCTTAGCGCACCCCTCGATCATGCAAATAAAACTCGACAGCCTGCTACCAAAAACAAACTCCGAAGGACAATCGGTTAATGACCGATTTTTGCTTAGACTACCGCCCCTACACCTAACGCCCGGTGAGCGGCCGGCTCGTCAGTACTCCTGAACTTGACGGGTGCTAGTGTCTCAACCTGGGCGCGGTCTTCGCCACGACGGCTTAATGACTTCCCACTCGACCATGCTGCGACTGTGGACCCGGTCCCCTTCTATAGCCAGGTTCAGACATACATAGTCCTACTAAGGCCGTTCCTTGAGCGGGGGCCCTGCTGTACTGTTCTTATTTTCACGGAGGCCCCGAAAGAGAAACCTGCGCGCCGCCCTTTCCACAAAACTCGCGGGCCTCAGGCTATATGGACTCGCTTACCCCTTCATTGTTCCATCCGAACTCAAGCCCACATTCTAACATCCCATGGGTGCAAACACCATTACCCATCCTATGCCCTTGCTAGTACACCCTTGGCTCCGCTATGTTCAGCCATTGGGGCAGCCCCGACATTGCCATGAGAGGGAGGACGCTGATCCCACGGCCACACCCCACCCCCAGCTATTATGCACATTGGACACTTTGGTCTGTGTTTATAAGCCGGGCTGGGTAGGGGAACTCCGTTAGCTTCCTGAGCCCACGCAGGTCCCATAGGCCAAGCAAAAGGGGCACTCAGTACGGCTTCGCAGCTCCTCACCGCACCCTGTCTCGAAAACCAAAAATAAAACAACGACGGTGAATAAAATATTCAAGAAGAGTTAAGTGTCGGGCGGCGACTAAGAGAGAAGAACCGCCAGTACGGCCCCGACGCCGCCGACCGCAAAACCAAGGAAGATTGCCCCGCCTAACTCTCAATTCCCCCGGTCCCTTTGCGCTACTTTGATATCCTCACGCCGTCGCTGCTCGATCATGACCCCTGAACCTCTCTGATGAAAGTCCAATGCCGTAACCAATAGTGCTAGGCCCAAGGTTGGGTCTAGTTCTGACGGACGCTTAAACAAACGGATACTGAGAGACGCGCAGACCTACCGAGATGTTTCGAAATCACATTGTTGTTGATGTCGTCCTCCGCACGTACACACAAGTCATAAGCAAGTGCACCAATCAAGAGAAAAACCTTTTTAATCCAAGATTAATCAAAAATAAAAATCTGGTCGGTGATTACGCCGGTCCTTCAATCATCAACAATAAAAATTACACGCGCCTCAAGTCTGCACGACCATACAGTCTCTACCTTAGTCAATCATCCAGTCAACGTAAATCACAGACACTACCTCGTTTCGCGTGGTATACTCAAACTTATAGCAAACTCATTTTTTGTCGCTTGCAGAAATACGGGTTGATACCCTTGTAAGGGTATTCGCACTGACAGCTTACCGGACCATATTAAGTGACGTCCCCGTCGTTTCGCAGGATCAAGAAGCTATAAATCCATCCAAAACTCCAAATGCTGACGAGAAAGGAACCAATCCGATCAGCTGACAAACTCAGGTTCGAGGCCTCCATCAATCCATTCCAACCGCAACTTTATGCTGCCAGGATTCCAACCTGGGCCTCCGTCGTCCTGACACTAGGACAGTGGGATACTCATCACTATACTACAGCATAAGTCCTAAATAGATTCCTCAACTTTCCTCTTCCCTTTGTCCTAAACAAACGCCGACTTCTCGTTAGGTGTCTCTACCTTGCAAGCAGGGTCATAACCAGGGCGCAGACCCTAACGGAGACCTTTGAAGGCATTTTTGCCTCCCTCCAATAAATTTTGCAATCAAACATATGTATATACACAAATCTCATCATAGAGTCTTCCTGCAGTGTAGTATAGGAAGGTCAGGTCTCCATCCTGGCCCACCATAGTCTGGGTGATCGTACCAGATCTACGGCCTACCGCGTTTGTTATTTCAGCGGTAGTGCCCTCGCAGGTTGTGCCACGATAGGTTTTTTCCTGATAAGCATTCAATCAGGACTCAAAAAGACTCGACTCGACTCTTATCCCACGTCGTTCCGCAAGAGTAAAACCCTCATAGGTGGCCACACCCTTTTAAGTCTTTACTCCCTTGGCAAGACGTAGGCTTGTTGTTCAGGTTACGCCGATCAGCAGCCGACACCAGGGGTTGCGCTCTAGTGATGCTAAACTTTACCGTTAGCTTGGTATTCTCATAAACATCCCAAGATTAACACAAGTGGTCGAACGGTGTGTCGCAACGATACATGTCTATTGCGGGACTACGCAAAGGTCTGCCACACACAAAAGGTATTTACCAATCCTCTGTGGGACAACACAGAGAAACACGGCAACCTCTCCACATTCACAAAACAAAATCTCCGCCAGACGCACATTTACCAGTCCTCTAGTGTACAGAGCAAGAAGGCCCCCTCTCAGCGACATCTCCCAAATAAAATCACTTTTGCGACCTAAAAAATTCCACCAATGGTTAAACCAAATGTGGTCCTTCTCGTCAAACTTTATCATTCAAATTAGCTTTCCATGCCATGAAATCTATTAACCTCCTTGTATATGAAGGATATCTCACTCAATAGGTCTCCTAGTCATCCCTTCTCTTTTTAGGATGAGCTCTCATGCGACCCTTCTTTTAAAACATCTTCCCTTTCTGAAGATGAGTCTTCCAAATAAAACAAAAAACTGCCTTCCCACAAAAGGTGTCTCTACCATAAAACAACTCAAACTGATAGACCAACTTATGGGTCCTCATCACAACTTCAACAATAAACATTCGGCATGGTAAGCATTCGAGTCTCAAAGACTCACAAATCCCTTAGGATTCTCACATTCTTTTAAAAAAACAGACTGCACTTCCTCTCCTTATACTCGGCCCTATCATGCGCCCGTAGGCAGATCGCACGAGTATACCGAAGAGTGGACAGTTCACATCCTTTCATATTTACGAAATATAAAGCATACAAGATGTTCCACATACATCTTTCACACAAAACCATCATACATCAAGACCTTACCAGACATGTGAGAGTGATTGTGATCGTCATATACAAAGAGTAGTCTCAAATAGTACTCTGCTCAAAGACACACTCAGGGATGAGATATCTCATTCAAAAACATACACAATAGTCTCATTCCACGACTTACTCAAAACAACTTAAATCACCCTCAATATAGTATATGGTCGACCATACAAGAAAATCACTGAAACAAGCCCAAAATCCCCCTATCAACGTCAAAAAGACAACCTCAGTATACACATGCTATCTCACATGGTCCTAATCTCGATGGACACCCTACGCTATAATCTCCCATCTGTACACTTGACGGCATAGATACCCAAACCTCCTAACAATGTTAAGACAAAAAATCAAAATAAAAAACATGTGTCCAACCTGCAAACCAGGTTCATCTCATCCTCACTAGAACATACCCTAGCGGCTGCTCACACCTAGGCGAATCAGTCCCCACTCACTCATCTCCTCCTGGTTCTGCTTGTACAGTTGAGCCTTACCCCCATCTGCAGATCGCTCTACTACTCTGCCTTGTCTATCATACATCCTTCCACCACTCTCTGTGACCTTCCCTGCAGCCAGGTTCTTTAGAAACTTGGGACGCTTCAAAGCCCTGTGCTCCTCGCTCTTACAGAAGAAGCAGTATGAGTCGCCTGACCTCCGACCTCTCTTCTTTTTCTTTTCGGATCCTGGAAATGATTGTGTTTCACTTGCCTCCCTGGCCACCTCATGACATTGAGGTGCATCCAAAGGCTCCTTTGGTTCCGTGTCCAACTCCTGAGTACTGGTTTCTGGTCGTATCCCAATCCCCTCTGGTCTATACTCAGGCGTATCCAGCCTCTTAGGCCTGCCCTCGATGACGTCTTCTATCGTAGTCCCCATCTCTCTCTCAGGAGGCTCCTCCATCCTCTGCTCAGGTGAAAATAGACTCGCCTCTTCCTGCATAGTCTGAACTGCCTCGAGAAGCACATCCATAGACCCCTCTGCCGGACCCTGAACCGGCTCGCTGCTGGTCGTCTGCCGCCCCTCCTCAACTGATAATGGCATAGTTGCTATCGTGGGTTCCACAACTGTTATGGGCAGTGTGGCGAGTTCAGTAGGGGCTTTGAACTCGAAGGCCTCTCTCTCTGCCTCCCTCTTGGCTTTTGCCTCCTCAGGCTCCAAGATGGCTCTTCCCATGGGCGGCTCCTGGGGGAGTTCAACTGCGGATGGCGGCCCTGATAAGGCATGCACCGACTCTCTCTGATCGCCACGTCGGCTACTCCCCGCCCCGTCCACCACCTTGGCAGGCTCTTCTCTGTCAGTCCTGCCAGCCCCATCTCGAGGCTGCCGCCTCAAGTCCTGGATGATGGCAACTTGACTAGCCACCAATGCCCTGAGCTCTCGGACCTCAGCCTCAACTGCCTCCAGACGTACCCCATGGCTTACCTCCTTCATCTTCTTCCCGGCCAGATCAGCCTCCAACATCAGATACCTATCGAAGGATGTCTTGGCCAGGAAGCGGATTTTTCGGTCCAAGTACTCATCCGCCATCCTCGAAGTCTCGACTCCTGCCCTCTCTGGAGTCGTCAATCCCTTGCCATGCTGGTCAAAGAACTCGTCCCACATCTCCTTGATTCCGTATGGCTTAGGTGGTGGTGGTTGATCTGGGAGTGTCCCTGCCTCCTCTAACCTCTGTCTTTCCTGCCAGATTTCCTCCAAGCGCTTTCCAACTTTGGCCCGTTTCTCCTCAGTCGTCTCCCCTGCTGGTACTCTCTCTCTTGTACGATGGTCTGCTCTCCCCGGAACCTCAGCTCCCATCTCTCTCTCTGCCTGGCGTGGCTCCATAGGTGGGCTCCTCCAGGTCAGGGTGCTCTACGGCGTGTGCAGCCAGATGTCTGTCAATCATAGTAAGGGTCTCTCTCCTCCGGTCGGCTCTCTCCCTCTCCATCTCTACCCTCACTCCTGGCGAAGGGACCGTCTCTGGTGGTGGTAATGGGGTCTCCTCCTGCCGCAATTCCTCCTCTCTGTCGCGTGCGCCCTCTGGCATACTCCCCAGTCTCAATCCCACAGTCGGCATCTGAGGAGGAGTATCCTCCTCAACCTCTATCACCTCCTCTATAGCATGTCCCCTCTCAGTACTCGGCCTCATCTCTCGCTCAGGGTCCTGGGCCTCCTCTCGTGGTACCTCCTCTGCCGGCTCGTCAAGCCTCTCACTCATCGGCACTCTCCATTGTGAGACATCCAAATGTGCCTCCAACTCCTGCAATGGCTCTCCAGATGGAGGCACCTCCTCTCATGCGCGCTGGGGAGATCCTCCCAATCCTTCCTCGGTGAAGCGATGAAACACCATTGGCCCCAAGTGGAGGGGGGGGGGCACTACCACCTCCGGTGTGCGTGTCGATCCTACCTCTGTGGTAGCTGCACTACAACCTGCCTCACCATCGAAGGTGGTTGGCTGAAAGCCCGTGTCCACACGGCGGTCCTGCTGAACCCGTGCACTCCCCTCGTCCGGTCTGCGACATTCCTGAATGTCCTTCATCATATGAAGGGTGTGTCTTGAACCGTGCAGGTAACCATCCAGGTCATCTACAATGTCGAGGCCACCCCACCTGTCCCACACACGAGAGACGAGAGGGTCCTCGCGGACTACCTCCTTCCCCTTCCCCGCCGCAGCAATCTCCTCTATCATGTCCTTCCCCGCCCAGATGTCATCCGCCTTGTAAATGACGTCCTCGACATCCTCATCCTCGTAGTCCCGTCCCTGCAACAGTCGTGCACTAGCACGATCCCCCCCTCCTTGCGCCGACAGCGCATCTCTGCCTCCACCTCCTCGGGGATCGTCATGTCGTCGCCGTACACCTCCTCAGAGGCAGCGCCGACCTGCGGCTCTGGTGGATCCTCCACCACATCCTCCCAAACATCCACGAACCCCTTCCGGGGACCCGACTGGGCTCGCAGAAGCTGCATGCTCCAATGGATGAACACAAGCTTCCGTAGACAATCACTCGAGAGTTTATTGCGCCTCTTCGTGTGAATGAAGTCATGCGAGGCCCAATTCCTCTCACAAGGAGAGGCAGTAGACCACATAGCGAACACCTTGATGGCGACCGGGGTACATCCTCCCCGCATCCGCCTTCACCTTGGGATCCGTCGACCATTTTGGCCTGGTGCTCGCATGGGGATCATCATGGTGGAACAAGTACAAAGAGAACCACAACTTGTCGTGCTCCTCTGAGCCCGGGTCGTCAACAGTGAACCTCGACAAATGATCCAGCGCACTCTGCACAACCGTGCTACTGGTATCCGCCAACATAGACACATCTCGCCGTCGTGGGTCCACGAGGTATGCGAGCGCGTGAGCCAGCTGACGCATCATGCTGCACCGGTACTCTACCCTCTCCAAGATCTCTGTCTCCTCCTCCTCAGAGAGACCGATGTCACGAACTCGCTGTCTGATCCTGTCCAAAACCCCCCAAAGGGTGGGGGGGGAAGAACCGTCTCTATCCATGTACAACAGGCTGTACGCCGGTTGCATGACGTCCTGCACGCGATGCGCACTCTCCCAAAATAGGTCGGACAACACAAGTTGTCGAATGGGGCGCTCATCTTGGGCTGCCTTCCCCGTCCATGGGGTGGCCCGCCATCTCACACTGCCCACAACAGCCCTCAGTATATGCTCCTGATCGGTGAGGCGCTCCACCATCTGGTATGCTGACCCAAACCGTGTTTCACATGGTCGGATCAGCTCTAGGCCCTTAAGGACCGATGATACGTGACGGCCTTCTGAATATTCTTGACGAACATCACAACCTTGTGTGTGTTCTTCAAGATAGGGCGCACCCACTCGAAGCACGTAATGTCTCGCAGGAGGAGACTCAAGCAATGGGCTGCACAGGGGAGCCAAGGGATCCGACTCATCCGAGAGATGGCGGTATCCGGATGGTCCTGCAACCGCTGCGCAGCCACCTTATTGGCATAAGCATTGTCAGTGCAATAGGCATTGACAACGTCAACGCCAATATCTCGGATCACTTCCTCCCACAAATCCGCCAGTGCCACGCCAGCCTGAGTCTTGTCCCTCACCGACATGTCGACGGTGGTGATCAAGACTGGCTCGTCCTCGCCCGCTGCAATGAAGTTGACGACGGGCTTGTACGACCTCGTTGTAGCCCCATTCATCATCATGGTACACCCTGTCAGCTTCCATTTCGCCTTCTTCGGCGCGACTCTCTCTGCAATCTCATGGTAGATGTCATCTAGGAGTCGTGTGCGCATGTCATTGTATGAGGGCAGGACCAAAGCTGGCCCGATTGTCGCCCTCATCAGTGACACCATAAAGTCGTGCAACTCCTGCATGGTCTCGAGGCGCATGCACGAGAAAGGCACCCCAGCCCTGAACAACACTCTCGCCCACAACCGCTCGTACTGCTACTGCAAACCCCCGCTGGCCCAACTATCCAACCTCGTCTGCAGCATGCGACGATCATGGGGCACGACGACGCCCGATGGGCCAGATGTGCCCTCCGTCCTCAGCCACGTCATATCGACTCTCGGCCTCGAACGTTGACCCTCGCCCCGCCTCGAGGACTTGTATTCTTTCTCTGAGTGTAGTGAGCTCATCCTCTACACGCACACCACCAACCCGCCCCTCATCCGTCATCGTGGGATCCACCCCTCGGGCTGCTGACTCCTCTCCATGACCAGCAGCCCGGTCGTCTGCCATGCCTGCAGCAGGGGCGGCCGCCTCATCGGTCCTTCGCAGGTCCTCCATCTCCAACTCCTCCTCGCAGACGTCCATGTGCCTCTCTGCCATAGCCCTCCCCACGGGGTCCGTGATGGAGACCCCGTCTCGCATTAACCTGTACAGGATCTCTCCTGTATGAAATCTGCAGTGCGCAGCCGAGCGGATGAAGTGATCTTCTGCCTTCGTTCGCACCCCAACCCAAATGTGGTTGCACAACGTGCAATGCAACTAATATTGCCCCTTTCCATGCACTCCCACCTTTTGCCCCTGACGAACCCATTTCCGCACCACATTCTTCCCTTGCAGCCAACGCTGCCGACTCTCATCAGCCTCCTTGAAAGGGGCATCCGATCCGGGAGGCTGGTGAACCTCCCTCGTGACCCGGGTCGCGACATCAGACAACCACATCTCTCTCTCTCTCTCTCTCTCTCTCTCTCTCTCTCTCTCTCTCTCTCTCTCTCTCTCTCTCTCTCTCTCTCTCT